CAGGCTCACAAAGAATAGGCTATGTGCATGACTGTGCTTCCAAAGACAAGTGCCTAACAACAGGGGGGAGCGATTCTGCAATGGAATTTGGAAGTTCTAACAGGTGCCAATAAAGGAAATGGAAATATTCTAATATTATAAAAGCTTAAGTCTGTCTGTCTGTCTGTCCATAAGGCTTTATTTACACTCTGATTGGCTGACAGAAACAGCCAATCAGAGTGCTCCAAGCGTGGGGGAGAGCCACCATGATTCCGAAGCCATGCTGAGGACTGGACAGTGGGTGGGAGAGTCAGGGCCAGCAGCACTGGCCTCGGCTCCCCCACCCTACTCCCTGCAAGAGGCAGAACAGTGGCAGCATGGGGTGTTAGGTGGTGGCACGCCATCCTAGCCCGTTCCCCCCGCATCATTCTTGACGGGCAATTGGCTCCCCCCCAGCAGTACAGTCCTCGGTGCCGCTAGCAGGGAGCAGGGTGGGGAACCGAGGTCAGTGCTGCTGACCCCAGCTCCCCCACCCTCTGTCCAGTCTTCAGTGCAGCTTCAGAATCATGGCAGCACTCCCCCACACTTGGAGCACTCTGACTGGCTGTTTCCGTCAGCCAATCAGAGGGTGAATAAAGCGTTACGGACAGACAGACAGACTTAGGCTTTTATAATATTAGAATATGCTGTGTATGACAATATGATCATGAATTAAGGGTGAAAAATTCCTTTACCTTTTGCTTACACTTGTTATGATGTATATTAATTTTTTAGATTTTAATATGATGTTTCTGATTTACAAATTTGGCAGCACTGTTAACAATGAGTACATCCAGATGGTATCAGGTCATTTAATTTGTTGCTATTATAAAACATAAACAGATATTAGTAATCTCTTGCTGGCCGTCTGCCTGATACTACTTCTATATTTAAACCTTTTTCTCCATGCTCCTATTCTAATTAGTATTAGTTATGGAGTTTGTATGTTGTTTTGTACTGGTCATAAAGGAAGTTATTACCTCCCAGATATAAACAGCTTGTTTTACATACTCATATCAGCAGGGGCAGGGAAGATGCAGATGCAGCTACTGCAGCTCCAACTCCCACCAGAACTTGGGGTCAGAGTCACAGCTGGAGCCACTGCCCACCTTTCCCTCCCCTGCTGCCTCTGTCCCCTACCACTGCCTTCCCTGCTCCCACCCATTATGGCCACTTACCTTCTGGTTCCAGCCCAGAACAAGGAGCAGGTAATACTGGTAATACTTTTAGGAGCTGGTAACCCCAATTAAAAGATGCCAGAAAACAATGCCAGGGTCTTAACTGTACAGCAGTTAATCTGGCCTGGAGGCTTAACAGTGCTATAGGGTCTGCCTGCATAGATCTGCTTGAGCTGTCAAGACTTCTGTTGATGAACAGCAGCTGCCACAAAGCCACCATGTGCCACTGCAGATCTGAGTGTCTCCAATACAGCAGCTGTGCCACCAGCGTGCACCCTGGGAAGGCACTTGCAGCTGAATGGGACTGTGGCAGCCAGCTGAATATACATGAGTGTCTTCTCCTGCTTTCAGCCAGGTGCTGGGCAGTGACAGGTGCTTGGCCCTGCTTGGCACAGGTGGACTTATTTTGCCAGGAGAGTGGAGGGTCCTGGCACTGCAGAGAGGCTATGAGAGTGCATGTCCTTAAGGGTTTCTCACACAGAGCTGTAGACCTTCAAGCGACATTTGTAGTATGGACTAGGCCTAAGATATGAGACTGGAAAGTGAAAATCTTCTGCTACACCACTTAGCACCTCTGCTGCTTTATTTAACCTACAATCCTGATCTTACGCTCCATACTGAGGGAAATCCAGGGAAGGTTTCACTTACAATCTGAGTGGGTTTTTTGTAGTCCAAAAAATGCGATCCTGCAAATGTTCTTTATCTCCTTGCTTACTACAACATTTGCAATTTTATGCATTTGTACAATCCCATTGAAATAAAAGGGGACACTCATGTACATACATGTGTTTTCAGGTACAGGCTTGTGTGTGAAATTCCAATTGAAATAAATAGAGGAGATATAGGTAGTGTTATGAGACAGGCAAAACATTAAGCTGATGGATTTAACTGCAGTCCTTCATATAAGATTAATTGAATTGTGGTTGGCTAAGCTCCTTTATGAAACAATAGTAGCTGGTACTGTCAACGTGTGTCACTGCAAAACAAAGTTACATGTGAGTCTACTAAATGACTTAGGAGAGGGGCACAGCTTGGTACTGCTTTTCGAAAAACTCATACAAGAAAGGGGAGTAGTAGAAACAGCTCAGACAAATGCACAGAAGGAGCAGAAAGCCAGATAGGTCTGAGAGGAAAGTCTAGAGAGGAGTTATGGGCTGAGTGTTGGGTGAAAATGGCTTGGAGAAACGAGCAAAGATTCTTCCTGTGGTCATGGAAACAGGGTTTTGAGCCTTCTTTATTAACAAACAGGATTATAGCAAAGATACTGAGCTAATTAGTTTTCCGCTTATGAATTATAACCTGCAGGGCCCTGAACTGCATGGATTAGAAGGGTTACCTATAGGTAGGGAATACACAGTCAGTCCCTACAATGGAGACCTGATGATAGAAGTTATTCCAAAACTGATGTGTGATACTTATCTCATCAGTGCTCATAGTCACCTAGTCTCATAAACACTAACGGCCACTCTCCTTTCCCAAAGCAAGTATTGGATTTTTTTTTACACATAGGGATGGATATTCCTGATACTCTGTTTTTAAAGAAACATATTCAAATATAAAAAGGACAATCATATGTTATAAGAAAAGATAATGCTATAAATAAGATGTAAATGATCCTGCATTATGTTAATTTTGCACATGGACATGAAAAATATTTCCTAATACCTAACTTTTAATCAATCTGTTGTAGACATTATATTCTATAAATTATCTTACCACTGGGAAATCCACAATGAAAACCTGTTATTCGGACACACTGAGGATAATGGGAATATGATGTAATACTTTAGTATGGTTGCCATACAAAAACATTGAAGGTAGGGCAGAACTCCATTCTAAATGGTTAAAGAAGCCTCCTAAATCAATTCAGCTGTATAGTTCAATCAATGAAGTGAGTGTAGCATGAAACTCTGCAGACTCATGTTATGTTTTTGTCAAATCCTGGTATAGACTTAGAAGCGATTTAGTATCTGTCAAGTTTTATCAATTTCTGGAAGGGCACACATACTGTTTTTTTTACGCTAAGGATGAATACAGTGTATATTTCAGTATAGCAATATCCTTATTAGACATACCTCCTTTGTTGTTGGTGACCTGCATTTGGGAATGCTGAGGTTGCTCATGTAAATTGATGGGACTATGCACTGCCACTGCTTACATCTGGGGGCACCATCCAGGATGGGTTAAAATAAGCAGCTATATATATATATCAATCACTACATTTATATGTATATAGATAGATAGATAGATAGATAGATATCTATATATACGTATTGGCTAACCACCTATATATACACATATAGATATATATGAATACTGATTGATATATATCAATCACTGTACTCCTATATATCTCTGTGTGTGTATAGGTGGATAGCCTATAGCTATCTAGCTATATACCTATATATAGATATAAATCACTGTATTCATATATATCTGTATGTATATAGAGATATATAGATGGAAAGATATCAATATATATAGAGATATCTGCTTATAAACTCAAGCTTTGCTCAGCTGCCTTTTGGTACTGACTTGGCATTTGAATATATAAGCACACTCATTCATATCTATCTATCTATAAACTCCTGAACTTTGTTCAGCTGAATTTTGGAACACAGATTCATATATATATATACACACACACACACACACACACGCTTATAAACTCTGCTCACACCTATATATGAATGTCCATGTGATATACAAATGCGCGTGCATGTGTATGTCTATTTCAAAAGACCAGATCAGTTCCAAAACTTGGGTGCACAAAGTTCAAAAGTTTATAAAGATTTATATATATATTCCTTGGGGGATATCTATATCTATCCATCTTCCATTTCTCTCTCTATATATAGCTATAGCTCTATATATAGGGAGATCTCCCTCTCTCCATATATATCTATTTATCTATATATTCCCGCAAGGACCAGATCAGTTCCAAATCTCAGCCGAGCAAAGCTCGAGTGAAGCTCATAAGGTTGCACAACGGAGTAAGCCCGTCAGTCTGGGGGTTCAGCTGCTCCCCCCACGCAGGCACGTCCCCGGCCCCCGGGCAGCTGCCCGACTGTGCGCAGACCAGGCCCGGGCTGCGGGTGTTCAGCGCAGACCCACTGACAGGCACGACCCACGCGGCCCCGGAGGGGCGGGGCGTCGCGCGAGCCCCTGACGGCTGCCGGGGGAGGGGGTCTGCGGTGTGAGGCGGGAGGGGGCGGGCGCCGGAAGTGACGCGTGAGCGGAGCGGGTGCGCGCGGCTGGCGGAAGATGGCGG